CCCCAAAACCCCAAAACCCCAAAACCCCAATGGCAAGAACTTAAGGAAATCAAGTGATTCATGAAACTAATAAACAACATTAATTAGGTATATCTCTCATTTGGTACTCAGATCAATACTTGGAATAATCAACCACTTCTTACGTTCATAGAGAGCTCCCATTTCCTTTGATATTTCTTTTGCCTTTTCTAAATGAGCTAGTCCCTCAAGCTACACATCATGATTCTTGCTATTCTACTTTAATATACCCAAAAGACTGTTGACAAGAGCCTCTGTATCTTTTTCACCTCCCTTTGGATCAAAATTTTAGGTTACTAGATAATTTAAGGAGTCCAATGCCAGCTTAATTTTTCTATTATCTATATAGTAGGCTGCTTGCAGAATTTAACACCGTCTTGAGAGCATCTCTAACTAAGGCTATATTGAAGTGTTGTAAATATCTTTAATGCTTAAATCATAGAGTAAATCTTCTAGTGCATTCAGCCAAAATTCGCTCTATACTTGATATCTTTTCGAATCCTAGGCATACATCCTAGCCACAAATTCAATAGTCTTGTGATACTTGATATTTTTTATTTGATCAATAGCATTTTACTTGTTCATTAAATCATCAATCTTATGGCAATGTATGAATGGGTCATATTTTTATTATTCCGTTTATTAGTTATTTGCACTATTTTTATCCTCTAACTAACTTTTCTACAAATGATAATACGAATACCTCAGAGAAAGAAATAGCTAGGGGAGTATTTCATTAAAGCTTGTGTAAGGATCAAAGTCTATGGCTCTATCGACCATCATCAAGTTGAGATTTTCTATTGTTCTACGAGGTAGGGAGATGGATGGATCAATACGTTTTGGGTCTGTTCCGAATTTCAATGGGTCAACAAAGGCTTCTTTGGGAAGGATTGAATTCTCTAGAAGGTCAAAGTCTTATTTCCAAGCACTATCAACTTCTTACTGTACTTTCTATATCTTACTCAGTTACTTTTGCTGTTTATCAGTTTCCTTTTACATTATTTTGCCTAAAATAGAGTAAATCCTTTGGTTAGTATTCCCTTTCTGCTTAGTCTATATGATACAATTAGAACACTCAATAAGCATACCTTAATTTAATCAAAGAATTAAGTTTGACCCATTTTCAATTTTTCTCTGACCATTTTTATTCTTTCCTAATTTCTCTTTTCCTTTTCTTACTTGCTCAACTGCCTGCGTATATTGAGATTTTCCTCTTTCTCCTCAGCCTTCCTCTTATCCTCCTTGTTCATCTATTCTAAGACATCTTCCTTATCTATTTTAGAGGGATTTAGCATTCTGTCATTGTGGTCTGAAATCTCACAATAGTTCATTACTGCCAAGTTATGAAGAATTATACTTCGAAGCTTATCATCAGTTGCAGTTTTCAAAGCGTACTTCAAATGGAATTTCGATTCGGTGTAAGATACCTTTTCACTTAAAAAGAACGCTGTCCCAATCACGAATCTGGTATAGGCTGATTAATCATCTGATAAGGACTAGAATTAGGGTAGTTTGAGTATCTCCTGCCCAAGCTTTATAATCCTTCTAGGCCCAGTCTCTTGCTCTTAGAAGTTAATCATGTGTATTAGATAGTCAATTTTAGCTAGAATTAAACCAGCAGAATCGTACTAGGTCTTAGAGTTGGGAACCATGCCCTGAATCATATTCAATAGCATCATCTCTGCATCTTTTATCCTCCCCATCATAATTAAGCATTGATACAATTTTTGCTGCACAAGTAAATGCCCTGGAGAGTTGAACTAATGAAATCTTAGCAATTAACTGAGACCTTCAAGAAGTTTTAGGGCTTTTTCTGTTTTATTGTTGTTTAGATACTTCAATGACTAAGTATATTCAAAGCATGTTTGTATCGATTCAATAGAAATAACTTCATGCAGTGAGTTGTCTTCATCATATTCTGCTGCTTGATTCTCTATTTACTTTTAATGATAATATGCATTCTTTGGGTTTGTTTAACTATGCCTATTAGTCTATCTTAACTTTTATTGCTGATTTTGCTTAAAAGAGAGTTTAGGCTATTGATTCCTATCCATTAAATCTTGCTTAAGGTCACTAACCCTCCTTTATGTTTGCATTTACGATTATGAACTTTTTAAACCTGTGGCCCCTCCTTGCCTCTATTTTTGAGAATGGATGTTTTCATTTTTATTCAGTCTATTTTGTACTTGAACTTGCTATATCGGCAACTTAACTTCTGTGCTTGCAAAGCATTTTATCTGATAATTCATCAAGGCTTTACTCTACAGAAGTGGGTTAAAACCTATCATGAAGTTTTAACTCATAAATTGGCCAAAAATGAAATTTTTAGTCATCAGTTTATAGCTCTTAGAGAGATTCTGCATGTTTATTATCATTTTTAATTAATCTATTTTTTCAATAATAATCTATGGCTTCAAATATTACATTAGGGGTTTTGGGGTTTTGGGGTTTTGGGGTTTTGGGGTTTGGG